CAAAAGAGAGTGATGCATGGATGCAAATGTTTATATCAGCGTTATTCATAATGGCCAAACAACGAAAGAAGCCAGTGTCCATCAAGTCATGAATAGCAAGCAAGGCAATGTCTATGCAAAAGGATCGTATTCAGCAGACAAGGAACATATGATAACATAGATGGGCATGAAAAGCTTATGCTAAGTCAAACAGGCCAGACACAAAAGAACAAATATATGGTATGTCCAAAATAGATTTGCCCTGTATGCCTCATCTCAAGAGATGGGTCTATAGAGATGCAGAGTGGATTTGTGTTTGCCTCAGAGGGGTTGAGAAAAATGGGGAGTTAATGAGTACAAAGTTTGCCTTGTGAGTGAAGAACACACTCTAAAATTGCTTATGATAATGGCTTGATAAGTGGGTATGCCTAAAACCAAGAAGCATATACTTTAGGTAGGTTAAATGGATGAGACTTATAGAATATGAATTATTATCTCAATAAAGCTGTTATATCGAACAGAGAAAGCCAGGCTTGGTACTTCATGCCTATGCCTATAATTCCAGCATGCAGAAGGTAGAAGCCAGAGATCAAAAGTTTGAAGCCGGTCTGCATGATGTAGTAAGTGCCAGCAGGCCAGCTATAGAGTAGGGCCCTGGGGTGGCAGTGGGAGCCAGGTAGTTTCTTAGGAAAGGCTTCTTTGGTGAGGCGAAACTCATACTGGAAGCTGAATGGCAAGTACTAGTCTTGAACCTTTATTTATTTGGAGGCGGCGTCTCTCTATTATGTAGTTCTGCCTGTCCTCTTATGTAGACCAGGCTGACCTCCAACTCACAGAGGTCCACCTGTCTCTGCCTCCTGAGTGCTGGGATTAAAGGCCTGTGTCACCATGCCCTCCCCATAGGAGCAGCATTCTGAAGATGAGGCGGGGAAGCTGTGCACACTGAGGCTCCAGGGAGACTGGGAGAAATTGTTTTAAAGGGAAGTCAGGGTACTGCATGGAGCACAGACTGTAGCTGGGCAAGAGCAGAAGCAGGGGCACTGTGAGCTGTCACAGCAGAGGCTGATAGCAATTCGAACTCCCGGTGAGGCAAAGATAATATCAAACTTTACTGGGCACTTAGGCATCAAAGTCAGAGCACTCTGTATTTATTAGCTGGGATAAACCCTGGGCTCTGTCACTTACAAGCAAGTTAGCCTCCAATAGCTTCCAAATCCTCATTTATAAAATCGGGATAGTAACAGAACCGCCATATGGAGTGGTTGTGAGGGGTATAATTAGATGATCCAACCTTATAACACTCCTGCCCAGAGCCTGGAACATGGTAAGTTTATTAGACTGGATAAATGGTAGCTGCCATTACTGGTTCTTTTTACAAAGCTTCGGGTTTCTTTGTGGTATTTTTATACATACATGACATTATAGTTTGTCCCATCTTCTTCCCTCACTATCCTCTCCATCCCTCTGACTCCCCCTTATCTGCTCCCTTTGTCCCCTCTAACAGCCTCCCCTCTGCTTTCATGCCACCCCCCCCACAGCTGCTATTAATATTTAGTCTGCATAGACTTAAGGTTTCTAATCTTTTTCATCCTCGCTCCCTCAACACGGGAATAAAGGTAACTGACATGAAGCCCCACCCCCACCCCGCCGCTGTCTCCAGCTCAGCCTGCTGTGGGGTTCCCAGAAAGCCCAAGGTGGGAGACCAGGACCTCCTTTACGTGACTGGTGACACTAACCTCTCCGCAGGCCCATGTGTTTGACTTAGCTGTCAACAAGTACGAGGCCATCTGCAACCAGCCCGTGGTGGCCAAGAAGAAGAACAAGATCACCCACGTGCAGTTCAATCCCATCCACCCCATCATAATCGTGGGTGATGACCGTGGGCACATCACCTGTCTCAAGCTCTCTCCTAACTTGCGAAAGATGCCGAAGGTATGGGCTCTGGGAGTCTGGCTGCCATCAAGAGATAGGGGGTGATAGGGAGGATCAGAGGCCACCCCAAGTTTCTGGAACGAAGGCTTCAAGGTAAGGATAGTGCCACTGCTTGAATGGAGAGGCTGGGAAAAGGTTTTGTGAAGTAAGAAATCAGTTTGACCTGCTACGTGTGAATTTCCTGGAGGGCTGGGAGGGGGTGATTTCCAAGGGGCAAGTGGGCTTGGAACATGGGGGAGGCAGGCATCATTGGCTTATTGAAAGTGCAGGATGTTGTGGGTATGACAGATCACCAGGAGAGGGACTCAAGGCTTAGCTGAAGCATTATTGCTGGGCTTAGAATTTCAGCTCCAGTGATCCCTGAACTGGGAGCCAGGAGTCTACCCAGGGAAGGAGGAAATGAGCCATGAGCAGGGTAACTAGGTCAGCAGCGATGCAGGCCTCCTTCTGAGTTCTGGATTCTGTTTCTTGGGTCTTTAATGATGAGAAGACCCAGCCCAAGGACTCCAAATGTATGACACAAAGCCCAGAGCAATGACTTCAAATCTATACCTGAGCCCAAATTCAGATTTAAGGCTCAGGCCTCACAGTGCAGGCCTTAGAATCCAGAGCCTTGGGACCCAACAAAAAAATAAAACAGAACCCATTTGTATGTGAAAGCAGAAATGACTCTTTGCTCTCTGCCCAGCTTTGGGCCAGGGTCAGGGTCGGCCAAGTAGCCCTGACCATTGAACCTCCAGGGTATAATCTGAGGCATATACTGCAGTTTGGGGCAGGGTCTGGGGCTGTCTTGTTCAGCTACTGTCTTCTTCCCCAAGTGTTCCTACCCAGCCAGGCACTGTGCACCATCCTTTGGATACTGGCATAGACTATTCCCCACCATGGCCAGGGAGGCATGGGCTGGAAGTATGGACTCCCATAATTGTAGCCAGCTGGGGGAGGGGGGTGGACTTGGCTATAAATACTCAGAAGGCTGCTAAGCGCCTGCAGCTGTGGCCCGCAGGCTGCGGTGGGCTCTGGGGGTTGGGGGAAGTCAGGCATGGTCTAAATCTCTTTGCTGAGCCCAACTCCTTGGCCTCCAGAGGGAGAAAGGAGGCAGCAATGTTTGTGGAACAGATAAAATCTGTTCTTAATTTAATGAGGGGCAGGCTTAAGATGGCAGAGCTGGACAGCCCCCTGGGAGGATGATGGCCACCCTTTAGGAGAGGGGCACAGCCCTGACACCGTAAGCATGGTAGATATGAAGGAATGCTACCCAGTTGATCCTGGGGAGCAAGATTTATCATAGTTCCATCTCCTCACAAAGCAGGGGTCAGTTATGACTGAGGGAGTGAAACTCTGACTCAGGAAACCTAAATCACCCAGGATCTGAGCAAGGACAGCGGGGGCTAGCACTTGGGAGGATTAGAAGTTCCTGTGAGGTGACCCTGTCAGCACTCAAGTGATTCATACAAAAGGAAGTCCCCTGGGCATCCCTCCTGCCCTTGCCATCAGAGGTCAAGAGCTGCCTTTCGTTTCCTCCTGTATGGTTGGGAAAGTGAGGCTCAGGAAGGAACTTGTCCAGTCTTGGGGGACTAATGACAGCAATGGAACTAAAAGTCAGGTTCCTTAAATACCAGAGGATGGAGTAAGACTGAGAAACAGTTTAATTATGGAGAGAGAATGGGAAGATAGAAAAGACAACCATCCTGTGCCTCCCCCAAGTGGATCAGTGAGCCACACCAGACTGCACGCCAGGGGCTGCGGGAACAGACCTGGGAGCAGGTGTGGCGGTCAAGGCCAGAGGAAACTGGAGCTCTGCAGAGTGGCTGCAGCTAGATGGGGCCAGGAAGGAGCCCACTGGCTCTCAGGCTCCCTTGACCTTACAGCCCCAGCAGGTGTGGCTGGGCAGGTGCCAGGAAACAGTGGGCACAGGTGGCAGAGAAGAAAGGGAAGGCAGGAGGGAAGACAGCTGCCCAGACTGTCTGGGCACAGTCCACATCCCACTGTCTGGCCAGCAGGGAGAATGTGACCGATGTGGCCAGCTACAGAATTTTTAAGCCTGTGGGCCAAACATATCTGTGCCCAAACTCCATTTTCTCAGGGCCCAACTTAGAAGTGGAGGCACTAGAAGGCTTGCAGGTGGGACCAAGGGTCAGATACTCGGGACCTGAGAGACAGTTCCCACCGCATGGAGTCGCATGGAAAATTGTCTGCTCCCGTGCGGCTCCTGGTGCTTTCCCCAACCCTGGGTACGTGACACATCAGGTCTAGCTTCGAGTGGCACCCCTTCTCGAGCCGATGAGGACACCTGTGGCCTAGTCCTTGCCTCCCTCTCCTGCAGCAAGCATCTATCTCCTCTTTGCAGGGCTGAGCCTGGGTGGTCCTAATGAAAAGCTCTCCCCGGAGCCTACAGCTCTCCCTGGCCGACTTCTGAGAATCTAGGGATAAAAATGCCGTTTCCCACTCCTGCCGGCACGGAGCCCCGGCTGAGCCTCGGAGCTAGAGTTGGAATCCTCCTCCCAGGCCCTCCGATGAGGCTCCGAGTCACCTGACCTGAGCAGGGGAAGGACTGAGTGCCAGCATCAGGAATCCAATATTTACTGGGCAGGGGAGGGTCAGGGAATAGCTAGGGCAGGCTGGGCAGAGGAGCCAGGGTGGCACCTAAGAAGAGGCAGCTGGTCCTTCACCATCCCCACTGTTATCTCCCTCTCCCCAGGAAAAGAAGGGGCAGGAGGTGCAGAAGGGACCAGCTGTGGAGATCGCAAAACTGGACAAACTGCTAAACCTTGTGAGGGAAGTAAAAACCAAAGCCTGAGAGACTGGCCCCAGGCCCTGCCCTGCTTTTTGAATCCAATATGTCCAGCCCTTTGCCTGGGTACCAGGGTGCCTAAGCACTAGGGATGCTTAAGTACCTCACTTTGATCAAGTCCCAGTATTTGCTTTCCTCGGTCATCTTCTTAAGATCACAGCACCTTTTCCCATGACTTGGCCCTCAACCTCCATTGCACTCCCTTTACACAAATAAACCTGTTTGAAAACTCACCTCGTCCCTTTGATTTTTTTCTATCACACAGCCCCCAAGAAGAGGAGAAGTCTCAGAGTAAGCCATAGTTCCATTTATTATCCAACAAACAGTGGGAGGACCAGAGAAGGGGCCCAGCCCGGACACCCTCCCATTATTGCCATGGGTTCCAGTTTGCTTCCCCAACCTAGAGAGCCCAGAGGCCCTGAGCTTAGGGAGGTAAACAGCCCTTGGCCCTTGGGATGGAGCAGAGTCCAGATGGCCCTGACCCTAGCACCAGCTCCTAACCCCCCACTCCAGGTCTGTCTCTGAAGGGCTACTCAGGGCTTTCTGAGTCAGGCTGGCTACAGTCTAGGCTGCTGGGTCCAGCTTCAAATAGACTGGACTCTAAATTCTGGACCCCAGACTGGCTGAACTGGATCAGACGCCACACTCTGACTCTGGTACACTCAGGTCCAGGACTCCAGGGTAGGCCAGGTGCCTTCAGGGCTGCAGCAGGTAGCTGCCTTCATGGCTAGGCTTCTGGGGGGGTGGTGCCTTCTCAGGACAGGGGCCAGGGCTGGAGTTGGGACTGGATTCTGAGAGAGAATCGCCGTCAGTAGAACGAGAGTGGCAGGCCCAGCAGAGAATGACCCAAAGCAGTAGCAGCAAGAAGCCTACAAGGCCGTTGCAGACGATGGCGATGAGGGCCCCCTGGGAGATGGCTGCCCCCATGACAGGCAGCACCCTCAGGCCAGCGCAGTTTGCAGAGCTGCCTCAACGGCAAGGCCCATGCCGAGGCACAACTCTGGTATGGCCGATGTTCCAAGGAGGCTGTCCTGTCCTCACACAATGATTCCTGGGCAGTGGAGATGCCCACATGCAGTCCAGAGCCTGGGGAAGTACAGAGGAAAGTAGAGGGAGGTGAGGAGGAAGAAGTGGGCAGAAGCCTAAGGGGACAGCTCCCCTCTCCCACCTCTGGCCTCTCAGGCAGAGGGCACTGAGTCCCAGCAGGCTCAAGTACCTCCATCCTCGGGCCTGGCTCCGAGCACCTGGTGCTGTGGCACGGCCAGAGTGGGCAGACAGTAGTAGGCAGGCAGCCTTTATCTCATTTTCTTCGGAACTGGTGGGTATAGCCTAGCCCTGCCCACCAAGCCTCTAGCTTTCAGACATGCTGTTGGTGGGCGGGATTGAGGTGGCCCAAGGCCCAGGAGGAAGAGGATTATGACCATCATTGTAGAGGCTAGGGCATCCTCTCTTTCCCAAGGCTGCAGTAAGCCAGTCGAGGAAACCTGCAGAGGTGTGTCGCACAGAATGGAACTTTGTGGAGGCCCTGGCAGGAATGTGTGGGTCTTGTATATCCAGGGCTGTGTGCGGAGGTGTGCCTTTCCCTGGAACTTTGCCTCCCTGGGTCAGGTGTGTGTGTCTGAACGTTACACCTTCCTGCCTCTCTGTCCCTTGCTGGATCTGCATCCTTGTCCCTCCATACCTACCTCTGTGAAGGTGTGTGGCTGTCTGTCTCTGTGTCCCTATCTCAGAGTGTTTTGAGTGTTTCATGTGTGTCTCATTTCTTCACCAGTCTGTCTCTGTGAATCTCTCTTTTCACGACTATGCCCCTCTGCCCTCTGCCCTTTCTCCATGGGGTCGGCATCTGTGGTTCTGTGCGTCTCGCATGTGTCTCTGTCTTTGTCTATCTCTCCTCCAAGCTATGTCTCTTGTCTCCGTGTGGGTCACTGTCTCTTCATCTCCGTTCAGGATCTCTGTATCTCGACCCCCTGCCCGTGGAGGAGCACCCCCCCTCCCTTACCTGAGTTAAGCCCGGTGCGCGCCCGCGGGAGGGTCCGGGGCAGCGGGATGCTCAGCGCCGACTGAGGCTCGAAAGCCTGCGGGCGGGCGGGGGGGGGGGGGCGGTGGGAGGCGGGCAGGGGCGACGTCCACTCCCCGGGCCCTCCCCCTGGGCCGCGCAGCCTCCGCCGGCCGCTCCCGCCGGGGCGCGACCGGGCCGGCCTCTGCCGCGGGCGGTCTGCGGAGAGCGGGCACCTCCTCCCCCTGGGGCGGCGCCTCCTCCGCGGCCGGGGCCGCTAGCTCGCTCGCTCGGCGGCGCTCGGGCGGCGGCGGCTGGAGCGTCGAGGAGTTCGGCTGGGCTCGGCTGAGTTCGGCTGGGTTCGACTGGGCTCGGCTACGGCGGGAGGGAGTCGGCTGAGCTCGGCGGAGCTCGGCGGGCAGCAAAAACAGCGAAGAGCCCCGCCTCGTGAGTGGCCAGCGGCCTGCGGCCCTTCGGGGGCGGGGCCATCGCTGCGCCGCTGCCGCTGTTCAATTGGCTGGTCGGGCCAAGTTCCCGCACCATTGGTTGTGCTCTGGGGTGGGACACGACTGTCCTGGTGCAGGAGAGAAGGAGGGAGGGGCGGAGGGGGGGTGGCGAGAGTGGTGGTGGTGGGGGATGAAGGGGCCACTTTGTTTTGATTCATCCCTTGAGGGTGGAGGGCCAGGCTCACCTTTTTGCAGTGATTTCTTGCACCTTCCACACCTGGAATGCACCCCAGGCGTCCACCCCTCCATATCTGGTAGAAGTCTGTCCCTGTTATCTGGAAAAAGTACAAGCGTCTCCACACCTGACCCTCCTCCCCCCCCCCCTTATCTTCCTACACCGCCCGTGCCCACTCCGCATCATCTCCTATAGATTGCCCCTTGTCCTAAGAACAGTGTGATCTCTGGCAACACAAGACCTTTGTTGCGTTTTACTGATTTCTCACCCAGTGTTGGTCAGGAGCTTGTGCTTTGCTTGCTGGAGAGACAGACACCTGAAGAATGGCTCAGTTGAACTAGATCTGCGCTTGATGTATGCCTGCCTCTTCGTCCTGATAGCTCTCCTGAGACCAAAGCAGTTTGGACAGGAGCGCTCAAGCAGGCCTTCCTCTTCCTGACCCTCACAAGGGTTTTGGACTCATGCATGCCACTGAGTTACATTCCGAGCCCTCCAGTGATTCCTAAGTGTTCTTGTCTGAGCCCTCTTGCCTCACGTACATATTGTCCACCGACGATCAGTTTTATCATGGCGACTCTCACTGCCGCATACTCGGCCTTAACTTCTCTGTGGAATACTACACTCACAGCAAAATGTCTACTGGAGTCGTGGTGGTGTTGGTTCACAGCTCCACTTTCTAACTTTGTGACGTTGGGCAAATTTCTTGACTCTCCTAACAAGGGCTTTCTTCTCTACAAGATGGTTATAATAATAGCTATTTTTCAGATTTCTCATTAGTACCACACCAACTGCAAGAGCAAATGCCGGCTGACATAACCCCCAGGACCAGGTGGCTGAGAGGCAGGGCCCCTCCTTCCAAGAAGCCCGCTGGAAACCTGGATATGATTTGAAGAGGAGAAGGGGAAGTAATCTGGAGGGCTGAATCATCTAAAGCTACTGTGTTAGAGGCTGTCTAAAATAAACTACAGACCCCGTGGAGTTTGTCAGAATGGATTAATTTTAGTTTCCCCCCTGTTACCCAGCAGGGTGGGGGTATTGTGAGGAAGATCAGATCAGTGATAGGAAAGAGAGGAGACATATGGCCGCACATCTGAGCGTGATGTGAGCGAATTTGTGACCCCGCCACAGGGGTCCGGATTTTATCCTGGAAACAGTGGGGAGTCACTGAAGAATTCTGAGCATCGGAGTGGTGTGATCATATCCAGAAATTAGAGGGATGATTTGGGCTGTTGGGTGGAAGGGAGTTTTGAAAGCATTTGAGGGTGAAAGGAAGACAGGGGTATTGATGAGGAGCTAAAAATGTGGCTGGCAGAGTGGGAGGGCATTTGGGGTACTCAAGAGCATCAGTAGGCAGAGCTCAGAAAACAGGGGAAATTCGAAGAGGACATTTCGGGGTAGCTGGTTAGTAGCTGCAACACTCTGATGCAAGGTCTAGTGATAACGAACACACAGGAGGGGCTGAGGAGATGACTCAGCTGGTAGACGCACTTGCCACCAAGCCTGATGACGAGTCCAGTCCTGGGATCAGTGTGGGAACTTGAGACCTGACCCCAGTTGCCCACTGACTTCCATGCTCCTCACTGTAGTACACGTGTGCCCCCACACCTAATGATCATTGTAGTACACGTGTGCCCCCCACCTAATAATCATTGTAGTACACGTGTGCCCCCCACACCTAATAATCACTGTAGTACACGTGTGCCCCCCACCTAATAATCATTGTAGTACACGTGTGCCCCCACCTAATAATCATTGTAGTACACGTGTGCCCCACCTAATAATCACTGTAGTACACGTGTGCCCCACCTAATAATCACTGTAGTACACGTGTGCCCCACCTAATAATCATTGTAGTACACGTGTGCCCCCCACCTAATAATCACTGTAGTACACGTGTGCCCCCCACCTAATAATCACTGTAGTACACGTGTGCCTCCACACCTAATGAACATTGTAGTACACGTGTGCCCCCCACCTAATAATCATTGTAGTACACGTGTGCCCCCCCACACCTAATGATCATTGTAGTACACGTGTGCCCCACCTAATAATCACTGTAGTACACGTGTGCCCCCCACACCTAATAATCACTGTAGTACACGTGTGCCCCCCACCTAATAATCATTGTAGTACACGTGTGCCCCCACCTAATAATCATTGTAGTACACGTGTGCCCCACCTAATAATCACTGTAGTACACGTGTGCCCCACCTAATAATCACTGTAGTACACGTGTGCCCCACCTAATAATCATTGTAGTACACGTGTGCCCCCCACCTAATAATCACTGTAGTACACGTGTGCCCCCCACCTAATAATCACTGTAGTACACGTGTGCCCCCACACCTAATGAACATTGTAGTACACGTGTGCCCCCCACCTAATAATCATTGTAGTACACGTGTGCCCCCCCACACCTAATGATCATTGTAGTACACGTGTGCCCCACCTAATAATCACTGTAGTACACGTGTGCCCCCCACACCTAATAATCACTGTAGTACACGTGTGCCCCCCACACCTAATAATCACTGTAGTACACGTGTGCCCCCCACCTAATAATCACTGTAGTACACGTGTGCCCCCCACACCTAATAATCACTGTAGTACACGTGTGCCCCCCACCTAATAATCACTGTAGTACACGTGTGCCCCACCTAATAATCACTGTAGTACACGTGTGCCCCACCTAATAATCATTGTAGTACACGTGTGTCCCACCTAATAATCATTGTAGTACACGTGTGCCCCACCTAATAATCACTGTAGTACACGTGTGCCCCACCTAATAATCATTGTAGTACACGTGTGCCCCACCTAATAATCACTGTAGTACACGTGTGCCCCACCTAATAATCATTGTAGTACACGTGTGCCCCCCACACCTAATAATCACTGTAGTACACGTGTGCCCCCCACACCTAATAAATATAATTTAAATGTAAGTTTCAGCAAAGGACTTGGACAATGTTTGGAGATGTCAAATTTGAGGAGCCAATGAGATGCTTTAGTGGAGCTGTTCAGTAGGTGTGGGTAAGCGACTCTGAAGTCCAGCAAGGATGTCCAGTGAGTGTTTACAACAGGGTGAAAGAAAGTTAAGTCAAAAACACTGTATGAGCTCACTTAAGGAGAGTCAGAACTGGTTTAAACTGTCCCAAGAGCCTGCTGCATGCCCTGGTCATCCCCACTCTCGTATGGTCTCTAATGTTCACATGGTGAAAACAAGACTTTGAGCAATTCCAGATATCAAAATCTTACTGTGGAGGTAGTCAAGGGGAGACAGGTGGAGTGGCTGCTGCCGCCACTGCTGCTTTTGAGATGCAATTTGAAATCCCTCAGAAACTACTCTGATTTGCTTGACTTTGAACTGCTCAACAGAGGTCAAGAAAAGGGAGTCCAGCCAGCTAGCGTGACCCACATGATAACCTTATGGAAGTAGGGTGGGTGGCGTCCAGAAAGGTCAAGAACAGAACGGCAAATGCTCGCTGTTTCTATACATTACTGCCAGACATGGACACATCATTTTCTCTGTATACAGTTCCAAAATATCCTCAGAAACTAGAATCTGGATCTAGAACGTCCCTCAAGGCCATGTGTTACAGGCTTGAGCCCCAGGTTGGCGCTATTGGAAGGGGGGAAGTGTTGAGTTACTGCAGGGGTGTTCTTGCAGGGGACTGTGGAAATTGAATCTTTTCCTCTGTTTTACTTGTCTGGGCCAAGAAGCAGGTAGCTTTGCCCTCTTTCTGCCCTGACGTACACAAGCCCCAAAGCAACTAAGCTAGGAAGTCACGGACTCCTACAGAACTGAGAGACAAAATAAACCCTTTTACTTTAAAGTTTTTATTGTATGTATGATTTCTTTAGTGTGTGTGTGTGTGTGTGTGTGTGTGTGTGTGTGTGCGCGCGCAGGAGTCGCACAGTGTGGAGGTCAGAGGATAACTTTTAGGAGTTGGTTTTCTGATCTCATCAGTGAGTTCCAGGAATCAACTCAGATCATTTAGGCCTGGTGGTAAAATATTTACCCACTAACCCATCTTGCTCTTTTTTATTTTTTTAAAGTTGACTATCAGCCAGACATGGTGGCTCATGCCTTTAATCCCAGGTCTCGGAAGGCAGAAGTAAGAGGATCTCTGTAAGTTCAAGGCCCACCTGGTCTACATAGTGAATTCCAGGACAGCCAGGGCTACATAGTGAGACCAAGTCCCAAGAGACAAATAAATAATGTTGAGTATCTCAAGTGTTTGTTACAACAATGTAACTCACTGTCTTAGTTACTTTTCCTGTTGGGGTTGTTAAATACCCTAACAAAAGCAACTTAAAGAAGAGTTAAGGGGCCGGAGAGTGACTGCTCTTCCAAAGGTCCTGAGTTCAATTCCCAACAACCACATAGTGGCTCACAACCATCTGTAATGAGATCTGGTGCCCTCTTCTGGCCTGCAAGAATACATGCAGGCAGAACATTGTATACATAAGAAAGAAAGGAAGGAAGGAAGGAAGGAAGGAAGAAAGGGAAAGAAAGAAACCCTGTCTCAGAAAAACAAACAAACAAAACAATGACGCCAAACCAAACAAGAGTTTATTTTGGCTTTCAATATGAAGTTGTAGTCACCATTATAGGAAAGCCACATCAAATCCACAGTCAAGAAGCAGGGAGTACTGTATAATTGTGTTAGGCTTACTTTCTCCTTCTTATAAAGTCCTGAATCATCTCAGCTCAGGGAATGGTGTC